AAATTCTTGTGAAAGATATATATTATAAAAGTGTAAATGAAACTTGAATCAATTAGGAAAAGATTTGGTTGTGAGGGTAAGTTCTTATCCTTGAAAAGAATTTTCTAATCTTTAATTCATAAAAAAATTATTGTATTAGTAAGATCTCACCCATAAAAGACCTTGAGCTATTAATAAATACTTTAACAATGATTTAATGAGTGAAGTAGATAATTTTATGAATGGTTATAAATTTGATGTTTCTCTTTTAATTTCTATCTCATTTACTTTGTGCAACTTTATATTGAATATTTGTCTTGACTATTTTAAGTGTTAAATAATTAAATTTCTTAAAGTATTATATGTTTAACTAAATATCTAATTTAGTCGTTTTAAATGCTTTTAAGACTTTCAATATTATTCACCCAATCTTTTTTTTTCCTTAAACAATAAAGGAGAAGATGCAAGTAGCGACACATCATTTACTTGACCAGATTCTAGTTAATGAGAAGTGGTTAGAAAACTGGACTAAGTTTTTTGAACCTAAAAATCATTCGTTAATTTATTTTCAATTAAAAAAATCTAATAAATATTCTTAAAACCTCATCAGATCAATTTATCATCTTAAAATATTTCTAAATTGATCCAAAAAAATACAAAATTAAAGTAAAAATAATCATTTCTCAACTCTATCTAGTTTTCTAGCGAGATTAAGGGTTTGTTTGGAAGTGTGGTTGCGGTTATTTTTTTTAAAAAAAAATATTTTTAAATGTATCAAAATAATATTTTTTTTATTTTTTAAAAATTATTTTTGAGATCAGCGTATTAAAACGATCCAAAATATATAAAAAAATTTAAATTTTTTAAAAACGCGGGTTCACCCACATTTCTAAATGCTCTTGAAAGTTCGGTTCGCCCACATTTCTAAATGCTCTTGAAAGTTCAAAAACACCTTAATAAAACTCATCTCATAAATAAAAGTCATTGACACCACCAATAACTTTCTCCTTCTTTAGCTATTTTTAGTCAACATTCTCTCTAATTTCTAAAGTTAAAGATTGAAAATAAATAAAATAAAGTTTTGAATCAAAACTAAAATTTTAAAATTTAAAGTGACTATAAAAGAAGCAAAAGAAAAATAGATGGACATAAAGTGCGCTTTTGAGCTAATTCAAAATTAAAGGAAAATAGGTGGACACAAAGTGCGCTTTTGAGCTAATTCAAAATTGGCCATATAGTTTTTTTTCTTTTTTAAGTCGTTATTTATCTTTTAATTATATGTTTTTACTACAAATTCAAACTATATCTCATTAAGTTGACCTTCAATCAAATTTTAAAATATAATAATAGCTTTAAATCTCCAGAATACATAAAGATAAGATTCTAACTACCTACAATACACCCTAAACAACTCGTTAAAGGATACAATTAAAGAAAAAAAAATGTTCAATGTCCAAATTAAAAGTCACTATTATAATATAATTCATAGTAAAAGCTGAGTGCACGTTTATATATTCATGAGTTTTGCTTGCTCTTTTCAGTTTTCTTTATAATAAGTTTAGGCTCGTTGACCAAATTAAATAGAGGAAAAGAAGAGAACATAATTTTTATAATATTTTTTGTATTTTAGGTTTTGTTTGGTTTGGGTTAAAAATAGGAGGTCAAGCTATAAGTGTATAGTCTTAATCAGGGAAGAGGAAGGATAACAAAAACCAGTGTATTTTGCTTGATTTAAACAAGTCCTATGTGTAAAAACAATTTCTGTGAAGAAATTAGTCAGGTGGTCGATTGAGTCGAGTGAATTTGACATGCATTATCAACTAAGGCTCAAGCTTAGACAATAACCATAGGGCTATACTATCAACAAAATTTATTCTGGCTTGATTTAAATCAAACTGATCATAGTATTTAATTTAGTCTTTGCGAGACAATTGGAAAAGGCCATCGGGCCATCGACCTTCCAGGTGATGAATGTAAAATTGGCTGAGCTTGGAAGTAAAAATGGTAAATAATCTAAAGGGATTATGGCCGATCAATATGGTGTCAAAAGAAGGCAACCCAAAGAAATGAACGAGGAAAGTTCGGGGAATCGAAGAACTCCTTCAAGGGCTTCTTTGCATTGAGTAATTACACCACTCTAGGAATCAATGGGCAGGTGAGGTAGAGGTGACTGAGTGATATTTGATGGGACATGAAAATAAAGCTCTTAAACATCTATGTCAGAAAGATGGACGGCGAAGGGAGAAGATTAGTAAAAGATAATATAAATTATATTTTTAATTTTTAATTAAATTAGTTTTTTTACATTATATTATAATTTTAATTGAATTAGTTTTTTTACATTATATTATAATTTTGATGATAAATGGTCATTAATTTAAATTTTATTATTTTTATTTATTTAATAAAAATAAAATATAAAATAGTGTAAACTTATGTAACTTTAAATTTGAAGAGTTTTAATTTATTAAAAAATAATATAAATTATATTTTAAAAGTTTAATTAATAATTAAATTTTTTTAATGGAATTGCTTTGTTACAACGATTTTGGAAGCATTCAAAGGTATCATTAAGCAATCAAGAACGGACTCAAAGTTTTTAACATGTTGTTCATAGGAAAGCCCAGGAGACTCTATAAAGGAAGAACTGATGCTCGCACTAGTCTCAAATTTCGAACAAGAGAACTCGGAAGGTGAAGGAGATGGAACATTTGGGTTCCTAATAAACCTCTCAACATTGGCAGCGATCAGATCAGTCAAAATCAAATCTGCGTTCAAAGGAATGAAAGGAAACTTGGATTCCTAAAGGAAGAGTGTGAACAAGAGGGCAGATAAAGGTCGGATAATGCTCATTCCATATTGGAGAGGGGTATAGGGTCATTGTCTGAATCATCCTTCCTGATGAAAAAAAAAAAATACAGAACAGAAAATCGAAGGAGTAAAAAAACAGGATGAGAGAGACAAACAAAGAAAAATGGAAAAGGCTATAACTATACGAGGTAGGATAAGGATGCAAATATATATTAAGGACAACACGATTCGTGATAGAATCGGACAAGCATGAAAGATTAATCACGTGTTCTGATATGTTTTTTAAAAATTATTTTTACTTAAAAATATATTAATTTTTTTATTTTTTATTTTAATATCAATACATTTAATTTTTTTTCAAAATAAATATATTTTTAAAATACACTTAAACACAATTAAAAACCTAAGTAAAAAACAGGCTCGATTTAAGAAACCCGACCATTAATAGGTGGTATTGTAAGTTTTTTCTCTACCGAAGCCCACGAACAGCTCAATTAGTTTCGAGGTTAAGATGCCGATGCTCATAATATTTTATCCAATATGAAAATTTTCTTTTTTGGCACAGATATACCAAGCAATGAGGCTCAAGATCTCCATGTAGATGACAAAACAGCAGTTCTGAATCCAAAACAAAATTAAACTTCAAGCTGTTCTGAATTAGTAAGCCAACCGGCCAGTCTGCAGATACATGGTTTTCCATGTGAACATAGAAAATTCAGAGCATCTTATTGAGAATTTTGAAGTTAAAGCGACCGACCATTTATATGATATAGATGATGTTATAATATATACTTCTCAATCGTCACCCTGATGACGTAAAACATTGAATCAAGTGGTCTTACGCTTAGTGTCGTTTAAGGAGAGACATGTTTTTCACGCCCTAGATAATTATTGCAAATGCTATTTCTATTCACCAAACGCCTCAGAAAATATTGTATCTGCGAAGAAAAGAATCCAAGCTAGCTGCCCCACTTTATTTATCAGAAGACTGAGAATATTATATTTGCGAAGAAAAGAATCCAAGCTACCTGCCTCCCCTTTATTTATTAAAACACTGAAGATTCCTCTAATTGGTTCCCTTCCTCGAAGAGTTTCAATAATGAATTTATTCCATAATATTGACTTGAAATATAATGACATAATTCTCACCGTACTCGTGAGGTTCGGCGAGGTTACTTTCCAGAATATAAGTCGGGTTTCTTATCAACACAGAGTTGACATCAGATCTTATGGAACAACCATTCTCATTCTCATGTTTGCTTACTTATGGAGAAGGAAGAAGATAAAAACTAAGGGTTTGGAAATCAAGCTCTCATTGTTTGAATATTTTGTATGCCTGCGGCTGCAATAGAATGACTGGCGTATAACTTCTTGCAAGTTTTCATCGTTAGTACCAAGTCTTTGAGCAACACTTGCGCATAACATATAAATGGCTTCCAAGTATTGTACAGAAAGGTCATTTGCTGCTTTGAGGGAAATAAGCACGAAGAAAGGTCGGCAATCTGCAGAATTACCCATTTTTTGATCTATCCATTATATCTGCTGCAACTAAAAATCTCAGCCCAGCTAAGGTGGTCTTGGCTCCGTTCATAGCTAGGGTCTAACACTCGTGGAAATATTATGAACATCCCAAAGCATATTAAATCTTTAGCTGCTAGCAGTTGCATTTATTTAAGTACTACTACGGATTAATATTATGTGATGATTTCAGGGCCAGCTGCCCGATGGGCAAGATATTGCTGTCAAAAGATTATCGAATAGTTCAGGACAAGGAATACAAGGCTTCAACACAGGAATCTTGTGAAACTTCTTGGATTTTGTGTTGAGGGAGAAGAACAAGAGTTGGTTTATGAATGCTTTCCTAACAAAAGCTTGGACTTGTTTATTTTTGGTAGAACTTATGGCCTCCTGCAAGGCTTTATCCTCCTTTTTCACCATTGAGTTGAAAAAATACCACTCTATGAATGACACAACGTCGCAAAGATGCTCCAAAATCTGCCTAGATACAAGAAGAAGATCAGTATTGGATTGGAATAGACGCTTTGATATTATCCCAGGGATTGCTCGTGGGAGTTTGTATCTGCACCATGACTCAAGATTGATCAATTTTTTTCTAGCAGTCGATCTGCTTGAGTTTCAGTGGTGTACTAGATTAATATACAGTGTAGATGTATCTAATCTATATATCAATTAGTTCTATCCAACATGAATTAACATGAAAAGCCCAGATTGATAGCTAGGAACAAGAACTATAAATCTTAAATATATTGATAAGATGCATTTGGACATGCATAAGCAAGTCTCTTGGCTAGGAAAACTCTCTCTCTCTCTCTCACACTGACACACACACATACATGTAAACATAAGTGATAATATTACTTCTGTTGTACAAGTAATGAGGCCTCCTTGTGTTCTTCAACTTAAGCCAGCAAATCTCACGCTACACTTTAAAACGCATTATCGTCTTGGACAAACTTGTTTAGCCTCTGAGATATCCTTGCAGCTCCAGTACTGGGGGCAGAATCTCCAACCTGAACAATTTATTTAAAAGGAATAATAAGGTTCAAGAAAAAATCCAAAATTTAAAGATAATACAAACTCACAATATAATATTCTTCAACTATCACAGAATTAACATAAATTTCCAGTAAAATTAATTAGAAACTATCACCTAGCTGCTACTATCACCTTAGAATGTATTGTATGGAATACAGTATCTTCCACAACAGAGAAATTGGCATTAATAATCTCAGCTCCTTCTTCATGAAGCACACGAATGGTCTCATTGAACATGAACTGACTATCCAGGCCAGTTATCAAAACAACCTCTAAAGTGGAACCCGTTTCGCGAACCTCAATTTGTGGTGATCTTAGCCCAGTTGTTCCATTACAACTGCTCATGCTTGCATAATTTGTCCTTTCCGTTCCCATTAAATTTTCTTTCTTTTCCTTCATCCTCTCCAAGTTAGTCTGCAGCCTTTTTATGTAACTTGCAGCATCATCTAGTTGATCAGGCAGTGACGGTACTGGTTCCTGCGACCACCATAAAAAGAGAGAAGAGAAAAAAACACAAAACAGAAGCAAAGATCAGAGAAAGATCATCACATAAAGGGCTTTCATGTTAGGCAATGTACAGCAATAACGTGTGAACACTATTGAGGGAGGGATGGAAACCCTTGAGCTTTGATGGGGTACAAGAGAATTGAGCTGGGAGTAGAGTGCCTTCATTTGATTTCTTCTATTTCTTTCTATGGTTTTTCTGTCAGTTCTTGATGAACTAGGGTTGTTCTCCATTAATGTACTTGCAGCGGTCGTAGCTAGTACCCCCCCAAAAAAAAAAAAAAAAAAAAAAGAAGACTGCACTACTATACTGACATGGATCCCTCTACCATGTAATTAGAGATGATAGCTTGTCGTGGTTTAATTGGATCAAGCAGGCTTTTATGATACATGCTAGAAAGCAAAGGTAAAAAAGCAAAATATATAGCAATATGATGAGATGCTATTCGGAAAGGTTTCGTGAATTCAGAGACAGAAATGGTGGGGCTGCTTTGATTTTCCATACATACAGGGGTCTCCATGAATGACGCGACGTCTTTTAACCCTGTATCAATTCCGGCTATATATAGACAACCATATTATAACACATTTTAATAAATTTAGCCTCTTTGATTAACATTTGGTGCTGTAACATTTATTCTGTCATGGCTTGGTGTGAAACCTTTGACTCTGAATTTTAATGGATTCGTCTAGAACCGTCGTCCATGGTCATTGAATATGTTTCAGTTTGGTGCTATTTTGTTTCAAACAGGGATGGATTAAAATTTAATTTTTAAAAAAATTAATTAATTTTTTTATATTTTTAGATATTTTAATATACTGATATTAAAGTAATTTTAAAAAATAAAAAATATATTATTTTAATAAATTAATTTTTAAAAAATAATTATGACCATCCTTTCAAATATTTTAACTACCTAACTCCTGTTCAAAATTAAGTTTGGCACTATAATTTTTTGCTTTAATCTAGGTTTTGATGACATGTGTTTTCTTCTCTTCTAATGCATGCATTTTGAGGTTAAATTCTCATTTATGTTAATAATAACTAAACACACGTGAAGTTTGTAATATTGACCCTTACATGATTTATGAATAAACACATACTAATTCCTACTATCATATGCTAAATTGTTTTTTAATAGCTAAGAGAGTTATCAAAATTCAATTTAAAACATTGAAACACTATTGGTCAAAACCCATTCCATGCAAAACACGTATTCCGTGAAGCTTATATTATTACTTTAAACATAATCATATTTTATTAGAACATGAACTATACTCATAATTCACGCCTTAAATATACCTTAATTTCAGTGTTTAATCTCTTTGAGAGTTTGAAAGAGTTTTTGCTTTTCTTTTCTTTTCTTTTGAATGCAAAATTATTTTGTAAAAACCTCCAAACTTTGTTCTCTCCTTTCACATTTTCTTATAGGTTACATACCTCCCCCCTCTCTTTTTTTATTTTATTTAAATCTTTAGCTTTTATTGGGGATGTTAAGTAAATTTTTCTCTCCCACTCTCCCATATTATCATGGATCGTATTTGATCCATTCCCTTTGTACTCTATCTTAAGAGGAAGAAAAACATGTGCAGGAGCTTGGCCCAATTGTTTTCTGAAAAAAATAAAAATAAAATTGCCGAACAATTATTTACTAATTAATGCAAGCTTGCCTAACAATTATTTACTAATTAATGCAAGCTTAATCATTAGTTTATTGCATCACGAAATATCAGCAGACAATAACATAGAAGAAAGCCCAAAAAGGGAAAAATAAAGGAGTGGATAGATTTATGCCTGTTTGAAAATATTGGCCAATTCATGTTTTTAAAAAAATTATTTTTTAAAAAATTTAATTTTTTTATAGTTTTGGATTATTTTAAAGTGTTAATTTTAAAAATAATTTTTAAAAATTTTAATATATTTCTAAATAAAAAATATTTCAAACCACAATTACAACTACAATTCTAAATAATTAAACCGTTAAAACACATTATTAGAATCTGGTTAGTGTCGTGAAGCTACTTTATGTATCAAATTAGGTTGGGCTCTACAAAATCATTTCAAGATGGTCAAGTCATTATTATTATAATTATTATTGATTTTAATGGTCAAGACATGTTTGGGATCATAAATTGAGTATCAAAACTAAAAAAAATTAAAAAAAAATCATATAATCAAGGTTTAAAAAATTCATCATGTATTTTTAGTTTTTTTTTCACAGCCTTTCCCTTACTATTAATGAGAATTATTATGTAGTCAAGGCTTAAAGAGTAAATTAATTTGCTTCCATACATAGGAGACCAACTATTTTGCTAATTCTGGTTGATAATTGGCCGATTTTATGACACGAAACACGTGGTTGACAAGGGTCAAGCCTCTAAAGATTGCATAAGTGCATTGCATGTTCAGACATGTTTCACAAGAATAATTAAATGGGGGAGTGGTCCCGTACATATAAGCCAGACTACATACCGGTCGTCACGACTTTATTTTATTAACATTAGATTCAAGTTTCATAGGGTTTATCCTCCTGGTTTAGGATTGGGGAGGGGAATAAAACAAATAAATAATTATTTTTTTATGCAAAACCTTTGGAATTTTAAATTAAAAACAAAAAGTTTCCAAAGTTTGAGATGCCATGCACTCCCACAGTTTAATGAAGTATATTTGTACCTCCCAATGAAACAAAATATATAAAAAGAGTAGTCCTTTTGTACTTCACACTGTATCTGAATAGGTATTGGCTGCTTTCATGACCTGCGTGACGTTATGATTTACTTTTTTTATATAAAAAATATTTTAATAAATTAAAATTTAAAAATATTAAATTTTTTTATAAAATTATAGCTATAAATAATGATCCAGCCATAATAAATCAAAAGAGGAAAATTATCCCCTTCAATTTTTTTTTATTTTTTTATATTAAAATATTAATATATTAAACTCATATGTTAATATATAATATTATAGTTGATTGCCTTAATTTTTTTTCTCTTTATCTTACCCTGTCTAACATTGTTTACCTGTCGTTTCCTGTTTCTTACTTTACTTATCAATTAATTTTTCTCGTTTTTTATTTTATATTTTAGGTAATTTTTTTTATTTTTTCTATTTATTTTATTATCTAATTTTATTTTTATTTTTTGATAATTAGTTATTAAAAATATTAAGGTTTATAGAGGTTTTGATATGAATATGTTCAAAATAAATATTTAAATATATTAATTTAATCAATTAAGTGTTTCTTTTCTTATTATAAAAAAAATTAATATTCATACAAAATCACTATTCTTGGCATCTCTTACAATGATAGAATAATTTATTGAAATTTAATATTTTTACATGATTTGTTTGTAATTAAAATATCAAGTAGAAAGCATGTTTTTCAAGTATTGTTTCTCTTACACATATACTAGGCATTGTTCTTTAATTAAATGTCTATAAATAATTAAATATAATTGAATCAACATGCTTATTATATACATATAGATATGAATTGAAATAGGTTTTGATTTTGATGAATTGATATTTATTTTTAAATTAATTTTACTTGATATGAATTAATATATATTTTTTGAATTGATTTTTAATGCATGTCTATATAATATAGTATTTGGTAATAATTTGCCCCCTCATTTAAAAAACTCTGACTCCGCCAATGCCCATGAGTCTTGGATGTCTGACCTAAAAGTAATATTTATGATATTAATAATAACATTAAACTTGCATGACCCGAGTTTATGTAGATTTGGTTGCAAGGTCGTATCATAAAATTATGATAATTAAATAGATTAATTAAAAAAATAAAGAAAAACACCAACATAAAGAAAAAACCTAATAAAGAAAAACAAAAAAAATCTGAATTAACTGGGTTAACTCGTCAAACCTTGGATTTGTGTCGTAAAAGTTTAATAATTAAATAGAAAAAAAAAATTTGATGGGTTAACCCAGAATAAACTGGGCTAACCCATTAAACTTGGGATCCCGAGTCATGATAGTTTGATAACTAAATAAAAAAAAATTAAAAATTAACAAACTAAATTAAACAAAAAAATTAATTAAAAAGGAAATAAAACAAAAACAAACAAAGAACATCAGTTTCTTCAGCGTGGACTACACTGTGCAATTCACAGTCAAAAGCATAAAAACGACAAAAAAACAAAAAGAAAAAAAACTAAATGCATTAGTCGATAACTAAATAGAAAACAATTAATAAATTAAATAAAAAATATTAATTAAAAATAAAAAATAAAAGAAAAGAAAACTTATAAGAGGAAAAAAACTAATGAAGAAAAAGAAAAAAATTAAATTAACTGGGTTAACCTATCAAACATGCGATCTGTATGATGAAAGTCTGATAACTAAATAGAAAAAAAATTTAATATCAACAAACTAAATTAAAATATTAATTAAAAATAAAAAAAGCATTAGCCTTTTAAATGTGGACTGCACTGTGTAGTCCATAGTGAAAGGAAAAAAAAAACTAAAGGCATGAATATTTTCACTATAGACTATATACAATATTAAAATATGAAATTAGAAAAAAAAAACTAATGAGGAAAAAGAAAAAAAAATCTAAATCAACTAAGTTAACCCGCAAAATCAAACTAACCTATTAAACTTGTGATTCATGTAATGAAAATGTAATAACTAAATGGAAAAAAAAAGATTTAATATCAATGAACTAAATTAAAAAAGATTAAATAAAAAGGACAAGGCAAAGAGAAAAAAACCTATAAGAAGAAAAAAACTACTAAAGAAAAAGAAAAAAATCCAAATCAACTGGGTTAACCCGTTAAACCTGGGATCCGTGTCATGAAAGTCTGATAATTAAATAGAAAAATTTTAATATTAAAAAACTATAAACAAAAAAAAATTAAAGACATTAGCTTTTTCAGTATGGATTGTATTGTACAGTCCATAGTAAAAGGTTTAAAAAGAAAAGAGAGAGAAAAAACAAAGACATACACGATAGGTTAATTTTTTCAAAAATATAAAAAAGGCTAAGATCTAAGAATGTTAGGTCTTTCTGCAAAGATATACCCAAAAGCTTTGGGTCTAGCTGTAAAGCTCGACTCAAGAGTGATATTTATAATATTATTAATAATATTAAACTTATATGACTTAAGTTTAAGTGAGTATGGTTGCAATATCAAAC